GTACTGGCATCATTTCCTTTTAATTACACTGCCTAAAGTAATTAAATACACCAAAGAGGATGGACTGCAAAAAGTCTTCTTGGCTATGCTGTTTTAGTCTATTTTAGGGGGGGGGTTTGTTTCATAATTAGGAGTATTTTCAAATCCACAACTGGTATTGCCAAGTGGCCATTTGTTATGCAACTTGTTTACCCTTCTGGTCTACCAGTACAAAGATTGTAACTCATGAAATACCACTTTTTCTATGAAGAGTTGTTTCTTAAGGGAAAACACAGTCTGTGGAAGAAGAGAATAAAGCATGAGCATATAAAAGGATTTCACAGTAAAAAAAGAGTTTGAAATTAAGATATTTCCAAGCTAACTCAAATTAATTTTCATCTATCCTTTTAACTAGCAGAAAGAAAGGGGAAAGAAAAAAACCCCAAGCCTGAGAACTGTGGAATTAAGAACAATTTAAAGACTGAAGCTGCTTCTCCTCCTTAGCTTAAGCATGAAGAGAAAGTAAGTCAAGGCATTTGGAGTAAAAGGGAGTGTTTCAACCCTGTGGAAACCGCAGGCAAGAAGCTACCAGCAGACAGGCACAATCTTTCAGGCCCTTTTTCTACCTCCAATTTTGATCCTCCTCCCTTTGAAACCTATACAAGAATCCTGGACCTTTTGAGATCAACCAACAAGAGAAAAGCAATTTTGGTATTACAGAGCTCAGAGTAATACAACACATTACAACAGTACTTACAAAGGTAATTATATCTCATAAAATTATCTTACTTCTTGTTTTGGTGACTTGGCTCACAGACATACTATTTCTTACCCTTGACTTATTTGATTAGGAGCTGCTGCAGCTCTGGATTTCAGTACTGGACTGTCTCTCCTTATTTGAAATTTCATTTCAAATTTCCCACACATCTCCCACACACTGGACACCAGTCTTTAAATGCAAAGCAAAATATGTGCCCAATCACGAGCTGCTATGGTGATGGCACACAAACTTGCACCACATGCACCACCCAAATACCCAAGCTTCCAGCACATCATCTCCTGCAAGAAAATTCTCCCAAATTTGCCCAAGAGCTTCCCAACGCTGAGAGGCCTCCACTGCCCATGGCAGGATGTGGCTGGGGCTTTTCACTCGTGTGGTGATGAGGTCGTTCCTTCTTCTGCTGGTTTGTTTGCCAGATCATGATTTGCAGATTTTTATTATTAGGTTGTGTTTTTTCTAGCAGAGAGGCAGGCCATGAGGTTGCTGTCTTGCAACGAAATTTCACTTCCCTGGTTTGCACAGATTTTCTACACTAGCATATGCAATCTGCTTGGCCTCAGTGACCCTCCCTACCCAGCAGAGATGGTGAGAAAAAAAAATACATTAAGATTATGGCAGTCTAAGTTGCTACAGTAATAAGGACTTGCTGAAAAGCTCAGTTCATGACCAACACCAGTAGGATAAGCATCTGTGACATAAGTGCACACATCCATCCCCAACAGCACAATTTCAGCAGCCAACACCAGTTTAACCACAGCAACACAGCTGGTATCATTTCTCTGCTTCCTTCCCTGCTCAGACCTTTGGTATTTTCTTAATACCCAAACTCCAGTGACCAAGCTTTTGCAAACAATGATATCCAAACTCGAGCAGTATCCAGAACCATTACACCTCTGGCTGCCACCGTAACATGGTGTCTGATAAAACAGCATTTGAAATTGTTCTGCAGAACTGCAGAGTGCCACTGGTACTGAGGAAAACTGCTTCAATTACTGAAAATTTGAACCAGATCATTTAGAAATTGAGGAACTGTAACAGGTACAGTAAAGCAATAGTTAAATAAGGTTTTGGTACCTTTTCACCAAGGCAAACAGAAGCTTAGTTGGATGATGTAACCTGATGTGTCCTTAGGCTGGCAAAGAGCTACTGAAAGCACATAAAGCATCACCTACTGCCTAATTCTTTATATCTCAGTAGCTAATTTTGATACTTGAAGTGATGACTGATCATCTCAGATGAGAATCTGTTTATTACAAGGGAAAATTATTTCCCTTAAGTTAACACAGCCCATAGCAGAGCAGGATAAATAATAATCCCATCCCATCCTTCAGAGCAAGTGAAGAAATACAGGTAGGTGTTTTCTCCTTTGAGTGACTGCTGACTCTATGTTTAGCCACATTTTCAGATAAAAAAAAAAGCTGCTCCCATAAATTTACAATCAGAAGTCCCTTCTTTTATTATGTACAGAAATAAAAGCTTATATTTGAACACTAGTGTGAACTATATATATTCAGTGTTTGAGTCTAATGATAAAGATAGCATAAGAAAGAGGCAGATTGCTCTAATAATTATATAAAATGCAGCAGTCATTTAACTCTGCAGTTGCAAGCTTTTATTTGAGTAAAGTCTTTCAGGGATATAGAGAATTTTCACATACAATGAGAATTTAGGAGGTATTTTGACAGCTTATATTTCCATTCCATTTTCTTTAATTTTTCATCTATAACAACTCTATGTTGTTGAGATTCTTTTTTTTTAAATCAGATTTTCTTTGAAAGCTTTGCTCAAACATTCTGCTTAACTTTGGCAGTAAATGTAATCAAGTCATTTCTCTGTCTTTTATGCCTCCATGCATCAAAAAAACTACTGACAAAGTCAAGAAAAAAAATTAAAAATCTGAGTTTGTTTTTACATTAGCTTTAACTGAATTACAGCCACACCTTTGACCCCAGCCCCTGATGGACTTCATCTGAAGTCTGCTGGAGACCATAGGAAATTTTGAGGACTCTGAACAAGAATGAGGGGAGAGCCTTCAAGTCCAGGAGGGAAGCAGAGGTGGTTCAAGGTAAGCAGAGAGGTTTGGTATGTTCCTGAGTGAATCAGCCCTTCCTTCACCCACCTGAGCCATCCCCAAGGAAGCAGCTGAGCTCCCAGGGACGTGCAACACGTCTTGCATTGCACGGAAAAACGAAGGATGTTCGAAGCTGGAAGCGAAGTACGAGATTTTGTCTAAAAGCTGTTTGCAAGAGTTTCCTTGCAGAGCACTTGCTAAGTGCCTGGGCCTGGGTGTTTAAACAAGGGCTGGTCTTGCACACACTGTCTCTTGTTCATGGCTAATCCTGCAGCGAGGTCAAATAACGTCAGCTCTGAGTTACCACAGCCATCTCCAAGGCAACTGGTGAATATACAGTGTAAACACACGATTACAGATTCACTGTGCATCCAGGAAGGAGGAGGAGGAAGAGGTGAACTGAAACAAGTCATGGTTCCATTGAAATCAGAGCAGTCAGTGCTGAAGCAACACTGGGCAAACACACCAGTGTGAGCAAAGGGTTTGAAAAAACTTGGGTTCTTTCCCATTTTGCTTCTCCCCTGCACCACTACAGTATTTTTTATTTAGGTAGTTTCTTCAAAATGAGGTATGAACACAGAAGAGGTGTTATCCACATGGCTGCTTTACATCTGAGATGTGACCTCTTCCCTCTCACCACAGCCCCGGACAGTGCAGGAATGGGACTACATTTCCAAAAGGTCCATTAAATCTTTATCTGACAGAAACTGTATTTTGGAACAGCACCCATCCCTATCTAACATCACATGCCACAAGATCCTGATTATACTGCGTAAAAAGAACCAAAACAACCCATTATTACTAAAAGAACAACTGAGAGAAATTCCGCCTTTTCCCTTTGAATCACGAAGGGAGTCAGATTTCCCACTAACAGTGACAAAACGAGTCCCAGGGAGCCCCTGAGGATGGCAGGAGAGGCAGTGCCTAGAGCATCACCCTGGTACCGCCTGGCAGCCACCACCCTGGTCACATCCATTGCTGCTCCAAGGACAACAGGGCCTGAGATGATAGGAAAGCATCGCTCCCGCCCGGAAATCCCACCAGGCACGCTGGTTCCCACATGGGCTGAAGGGGAACACTGAAGCTTTTCAGTTCCTTTCTTGGCGACGCAGCCACGGTCCCCAGGGGGAGGTGAGGTCATTGGGAGCGGGGCTGGCAGAGCCCCACGCCCACCACACAAAAGCAGGGAAGGAGTCACCCCCTTCTTCCTCCTCTTCTGGGAGAAAATAAGCACTAATCTAATTGATTGCACGGGGCTCCAGTCGTCAGTAACCATAAAAAGACTTCTCTTCACAAGCCAACTGAACAACATGAACAGCACAAAAAAAGGAGGAAATGAAAAAAAACAGAGTGGCCAACTTTTAGCCACTCATTCCCAGCAGAAAAAACTCCTTAGCCCAAATTTTACTCCACGTGCATCTCTCATAAAACAATACTTAGGAGGTAGATAAAAAGACAAACCCAAGAAAAACACTTGATGGCTTGAGCTACACTGTGTATAGTGAAAATGTCAGGCGTTTTTCTCACACTAGCAGCAATGTGCTGCATAGCAACAAGTCAGAATGAAAGGTTAATGGTAAGGACTGCAGCCTGGAACACACTCATTCCCACGGTCCTGAAGTCACCAAAGGGAAATGCTGCACCGATTTGTTTTGTTCTGCTGATGGCACAAAGGCTTAAGAAGTGGGCTTTCGTGTGGCACCAAGCAGCACACATCCCCTGCCACTGCAAGAGTTCCAGAAATGCTTTACAGGTTTTAGGGGAAAGGGTTGTATTCCACCAGGACTACAGCAATGAACCTCACCAAGTCAAGCAGGTGATGAGTGTAGCTAGGACTATCCAGGCTGTACATCACTGGCAAATGTGTCTTCAGCTATCTTTAATGCATTTAAAAGCTTTTCACTGTGTGTAAATGTAACTGTGTATTTTATACAGTGGAATCTCATAGTTACACATTCAATAACTGCAATCTCAAAGTCATTTAATTCTAGCAAAATCAGGAAAGAGATTTTTAAAAGGCAAAAGCAGTCACCCGAACCATTCCACTCCCTGTGAATGTGTAAATGAGGAATAAGACAACCAACAAAACAGCATTACATTCCAGTCCACTTCTATTAACCAAACTTCATAGACTGATACATGGATATGCAAAGAAAGGCAATTGTTTACCAGGAGAAATTGTCTCCAGACTCCCAGGATTAATCTTTCTCGTGCTTGTGCAGTGTTGGACAGTTGATCCAGTGAAGACCAAATAAAAAACTACATCATCTTCAACTTTATCTTCCTCAGTCAGCTGCACTGTAATAACAGAGTCACCCTAGGAAAAGAGCAAGAAACAAGGTTAGGTTTACATGACCAAGAACTGCACCACATCAAATAAAACTTCTCTACCTACAAGGCTCACGCTCTCTGTTCATACATACCTTTCACACAACTTGGGGCCCATCCTAATTTTTAGATATGCAAGTAATCCTTAGCATCACAGCTAGCCTACAGGGTAGAAAAAATATTGAGCCCAACTCTGGGAAGAGATATGTAGAAATCTCCAGGGTACATTCAAAAGAGCAACTTACTATGGTGAAATGACACCAAATCTGAAAAATGCTTAGTTTTAGGGTTTATTTCAGTATCTCAGTATATTCTATAATTTTGCTCATCTTTGCTATCAGCAAAAATTATACCTATAAAGGGCACACACAGTTATCATAGTTAACCCAGCACAGGACACAGTAAATACACCTGAAATGCATACATGTGCATGGAAAAAAGCAGGGCCAATATCCACCAACTTCAGTTTTCCATGGAGAAGGGAAAGCAAAGAAAGAGGATGGCTCACAGTTACTACACAACTAATTTTCATTTGATCATAAAACCACAGACTCATTTAGGTTGGAAAAGACCTCTGAGATCATAGAGCCCAACCATTAACCCAGCACTGCCAAGTCCATCACTAAACCATGTCCCCAAGTGCCACATCTACAAGTCTCTTAAATGCCTCCAACATCTCACCATACATCATTTATCAGCCTGGAAAATTATATAAACTATGAGACACTGGGAACAACAGTCTGTAAGACATGACCTTCTGCCCCTTTTCTATCAAGATCAAAACCAGTTGGATGCCCCAGTTTTACACTGCAGCTGTGGTTGCCAGCTCTCTGCCACCATCCCATTGAGCATATGGTTATGGCTAGAAATCTGGAAAAGATTTTATTATTATTATTATTATTATTATTACTACAGATTATGTAAGTCTAATTTGCATATTCAAGAAAATACACATGTAATTTCCTTTAAAACCTTCTCCTTAAGATCACTCAGTTCGTCCCTTCTCTTTGTCAAACATAACTATTGCAGAAAATTCCCCGACTTCCCAGCCCTTCCATACACCCCTGCCATGTTAGCATCACTTCCCATGCTCTGTCTCACATCTCCCCCCTTTCTCCCTCAGCTCCTTTTACTGTTCCTCCTCCAAGTTCATGTCCAGTTCTCCTCTGATGCAGCCTGTCTGGTACTCTTGCCAGGGGCAGGACTGCACCTTGTTTTGATAGAAATGAGGTTTTGCAGTGCAGTACATGACCAGCCCCTGGTCTTAAAACCAAATATGTGGGTCAGTGGTGTAACACACAAGAAAGAAAAACAAAAATTAAAGAAAAAAAGAAAAGATAAATAGAACACTGAGTCTAGTTTGCATTTTCAGAGGTTGTAGAGTTACAAATGTGCATTTTAGGAAGGTCTCACACGATAATATCAGACCAGACTTCCAGCTGGGGAGAAAGGAACCATGTAGCAAAAGCATATCTTGTATAGAGTCAGTGTTAAAATAAAAACAGGTGCAAAAAGAAATAAATCAAGCTTTAAATTCAAGCATGACCAGTCCACATGCTGAGTTGAAAACTAAATATTCCATTTCAAGCAAATGGATCCAGTTTTGAGCTGATGTTCAAAAAAACAAAAGCTCAAGTTTTAACCTACAAACCCTTTGTGCTTTGGCTTTTTTATCCGACTTTGTTCAAACCGTTTCTCCCTTAAGGCATGAACATAAAAGTACTTAGACTTAAAATGCAGGTGACACTTCAGAACATTCACCAACAGCACTGAGTGTTTAACATGATATCTGTTAAAGAAGATTTTTTTCTTTTATTTAACTCAGAAATCAAGTACAGCTAGTCCAATTTCTGTGAAAGGAAAGCAAATCCGCACAGAGTGCGACACCTGTCTATCCATGCAAACCTCTCCTGCTTCTAGGAAAAGCAATTTAATTTGCATCACTATCACAAGAGATAATTTGCCTATTTTGTTATTGACAAAAGCTAGTAAATACATGTAAGAAACCCCAACACCAGAGGTTCTGCATAACCTGAACTCTAAGCTGGGACTTACAAAACATATAGCTGAACTTCTTATATAGATACCTGACCTAATTTTGAAGGTGGAAGGTGGTCAGACCAGGTGACTTCCAGAGGTTCTTTCCAAGTAATTTGTTCCATTCTTTGTATTTTAATTCAGTTAATTTAAGGTATCATGTAAGTCTAGGGGGAGCACAAATTATCATCAGCTGATATTAACTGAAAAGGCTCTTCTGCTGTGTCTAAGCAGAACTTGATGGTGGGATGGTGTCCTCCACACTGCTTCCTGCCTTTAACAAAGACTGTGGAACACTGAGCATCTTATTTATTGTTTTACTTGAATTTTTAAGTTGTCTCCAAATATCTTTGGTAAGACTGATAACGTGCTTCACTTTACCTACAGGTGTCACCTGAGCTACCTCTCAGTCGTACTGTGCCTGGTGGAGCTCACTGTGTGTGAGGTGATTGGAGATCCCAGAAGCAAAAGACCATCTTTTTTCAACACACATCTCCACCTCCCAGTTACCAACAATTTCATTGTTCACTGCCAATTTTAATTTGATTGTTAAGTTATATTCAAATAATGTATTTATTTGGAAAGGAAATAACACACAGAACAAACCCCACTCTTTCCAAGATCTTTGGAGTTAAAGAAAATCAGTTACAAATGCAGGCAAATTCCTCCAACCCACATAGAAGACTTTCCAACAGCCCTATTGCATTCAGCCTCCAAAAACATTTTAATTGAAGTATGTTTACCTTTATTCATTTAATATTGTTCAAAAAATGTCATCTGTTCAGTATCACTGCCACACAAGGTGGTTATTATAACCCTTCTTTCATCCTGAATGGCTAGAAATGGGAGGCCAGCCTGCCAATATCCCTTTGGTGAAAGTACAGACAGATCAAAGCCATTCTCTGGAATGCTCCAACAAATAAGAATAACTTAATTTCAAAACTAGTTTGGATCGACTAATATTTACTTGGCTTAAAGCCCATTGGAAATGAAAACATTCCATCTTGGTCCATTCATGAAAGAGGCCACCCTCTCCCTTGTTCGGATCTGAAAAATCTCTGGTCTCAGAGAGTTGTAACAGGATGGAAAGAAGGTGGATGTGGCTCTTTCCTCCAAATATATTCCCTTTTACAAACCAAAGGGAGAAAGGTGGTCTGCCTCACCAAGGGATGGGTGCACTGGAAAAGCCAAACCTGATCTTGGGCTTTCAACCAGAAAACAATTCAGAAAGGGATTTTAGAGTGGCCCTACTCTGAAGCTTTGGCTTAGTTAAGGCAGTAGAAATATAGTTAGCTCCAGAAAGGTCCAAATGCTGTTACTAGGACTAATCCCCAAAACTATCCAGACAAGGCACCTGTTTGTCAGCATATTTTGCTGACATTAGCACAACTCCACCTTTTTAGGTATTAGTTTTTCCAATAGTGCAGTTAAAGGCATGTGGATTGTGTGTAGGTAAAGCATGAGCAACGCTGAGTAAGCTGTTAAAATAGACTATTTACCTTCAAAGGCTTTTTTTTTTTTAGTGGAAGACCTCAGCAATATTTAGAAGTGACAATGAAGTGAACAAAATCTTTACACTCAAAAGAATTAAGATCACTTATCACCTTAAAAACAGTATCCACCTTCCAAAAACAAATAATTATTGTAAGCATGAAAAGGCATCTTTCTTTTCCACTTCAGGCTCTGAAAATGTCTGATTTTGGGGAATTGGCCATCATTTGGGACCATGAAAACAACCCTGGCAAATGCAGAATTCAAGACTTCTACATGAAAACCAAGTGTTTAGTTGGCAGTGGGAAAGGTTCTCTGAAGGATATCAGCTCTACCAGCAACAGGTAGACTTCTCTACAATCAACTATGAAGGGAAAAAATATTCTTAGTGTGCTGGCTAACAAATTTTAATGTTTCTGAAAACAAACAAACCAACAAAAACCAACACAATAACCAAACAAAAAAAAACCCAAAACCACAAAAAAAAGGCCAAGCTGTATTTTTATAGCTGAAGCATGTGATTTTTAAGCTGGTTTTCCCCCCCATGGTTCATACTGGGAATTTTGAAGTACATTTCTTAAGCCACTAACCACCCACTGACCTCCACACAGAGTCTAAAAATACTTATGAAAATGAAGCTTGCTTTAGAGAGCAATACTTCAGCACTCAAGTATCGCTTTAACATTCTGCTTTTAATGAGAAAACACTAACAACCAGTAATCATTAATGTGTTCTAAACAGAAAAGCAAAATTTCTGCTGCCAACCACTGATAGCAAACTCTGGCTGTTTTTTTCATGCAGGGAAAACCAACTGAATGGAAAGTCCGTGTGTTAGATGGGTTAGAAATTCACATGAAGGAAAGAAACCTTCCACAGTATGTTTCCTTCTAAGAATTGTTGTAGATGTTGGCATTATGATGCCTCATTAAAGAGGCTGGATCAGGTGCTGGATTAGATGAGTAAACATAACCTGCCACTGTAACAAGTTTGGTTTTGTTTCCTCTACTCATAACATGAATCAGATCCTTGTTGGGTCATTGCTTATTGCATTTTTGTTTGTTCCCCTTTGGAAAGCCCTAAACAGCTCCCAAGAGTGCTTCACTGTACACAGGAGGACAGCACAAAATCACAGCTGTGATTTCTTCCTCCTCCTTCAGTTCAGGCTCATTGGTATCTTTATTTATTCCTTTTTAGATGGAGTTGGACTTGCTGTTACCCCAGCTACTGCTCGACACAGTGCGCACAGGATTGGGCTGTAATTCCAGCACGAGGCAAGTCCTTTCACATCCCCATGCTTTGATTTTCCCCATCAATGAAATGGGAATCGTGGTTCAAACAAGAGCATTTTTCATCCAAATGGCTTCTAAGGGAACAGCTGGCTTTTCAATCATATGACGTTTTCTTTGGAAGCTGTGCAGCACCGACAATAATTAAGCTAGACAAAAATCAAAGGGAAAGTTG